TACTAATACTCATACTATTACCCCTACAAATACTATTACTAACATTATCACTTACTATTACTATCACTCAAACAAGTACTAAGACTAATTTTAATTATGACCATAATATTGATCGTAGTACTAATTCTTTTCATAATCATAATCCTAATACTAATAAGTATCTTAATTCTAATCAGTTTTCTAATCTTGATTATAATTTTAATGCTAATACTAACTACAATCATAATACTAATATTTATTCTAATACCAATAATAATACTAATATTAAACTAATTATAATCTTAATCATAACCCTAATCTTAACCGTGCTCCTAATTCTAATACTAATATAGATTCTAATCGTAATAATAATACTAACATTAATACTGATACTTATACTAATACTAATTATTATCATACTTCTAATCTAAATCTTAATCTTAATATTAATCATGGTCCTGATACTAATCCTAACCATATCCTACTACTAACAGTAAGACTAATACTAATATGTTAATGCTAATGATACTACTAATTCTAATACTAATACTAATACTAATATTAATGTGCTAATACAAATACCAATAGTGATAGTAATAGTATTAGTAATAGTTATGATAGTAGTAATGGTAATAGTAATGGTGTAGTCTATTATAAATTAATTATGTATTTAAACAATAAGTATATAAAATCTAACTGATTTCATTTAAATATCGCAAAACCTACCCTAATAATCATCGAATACACACACACACACACACACACTCATATATATATATATATATATATATATATATATATATATATATATATATATATATATATATATAAATATTTCAATCATTACCAAATCATTAAACTCAATATATATCCGTAGGGATTAATTCCACTTTCCACCCCTTTAATGTAGTATTTTGACACCTTACACTCTTGAAAAGAGTGTAATAGCACTTTGTACGATCGAAATACAATAAATCATTAACAATGCCATCACAAATTAATTTTTAGTTGAACTTTTATATAGATGCAAATTGTCAAATCAACATTTTTAGTTCTTTCAAAACTAATCGAGGTTTTATCTAAGAACCAATCTATTCAAAAGTCAAATGAACATACTTTTTAAATTCGGAATTCTCATATAACACAGTAAGTATCACTACATAGAAAATTAAAAAGGATTTACTATGTAATGCGATTCTTCTTATTGAATAAAAATATATATTTAGAAACACATCAATAAATAAATTTATTTTTAATATCATGAATATAATATATCTATAGTATTATATAAAATTGATGAAATCAATAATAAAAGAATGATGGAAGTAAGTTCAAACATAAGGGTGGAAATCGGACGGTTCGGATCGAAATAAGCACGGAGTAAGTTTAAACATAGGAATAAACACGAATCAGAAAAGTTTGATTTTTTTGGCACTTCAAATATAAAATATATGATAATATTGGTATTATAAGAGGGGTTCTCGGTAGAAAAAAAAAATGGAATTATCCTCGGAAATTAAATTCGGATTGGAATCGACGAAAATAATTCGGCTACTCTATCAAAAATAAAATGATTCAACTATTTAAGGATTAAAGTAAATTAATTTTATTAAAAAAATAAGTAATTTCTTTATTAAGAAGGAAATCAATGAAAAAAAAAATAAAAAAAATAGTAAAGCATGGAGACAAATAGAATAAAACAAATCAGAGTAATCAAATGCATTTCTTTACATATAACAACAACTTCAATGCTAAATATCAAAATTGAATTATCAAATGCTCATTTGATATTTGAGATAATATTTTAAAATACATTTAAAACTCAATTACTCCAACCATATAGTTATCCATATTATCAATTGGAAGTTTTTTGATAATTTTATATGTAATTGCCACATGCCAATTTGTGAATGGTTGGTTAGGTGGTTATTGTTTTGGTAATTCAATCTGCAAGAAGTATTTTTAGATTCAAAGACGTGAAATGTCAAAATACAAACCCATTTTAATAACCCCTTTGAGGACAATTTTTCAAATTTTAGGAGTCAAATGGTAGTTAAGAAATTTAATAACTCCATTAGAGGTGCTCTAATAAATACATGAATTAAAAGAGTAATCAAATGCATTTCTATATATATATCACACATACATATGAATAAACTTTCAAGTTTTTTTCATAAATAAAATTCTTCACGTACATTGTTTTCTTGTACATTGCTTTTGTAGAGCCACTGCAAGATAGTTGAGATGTTCTACCACGGGAGAAAAAAATAACACTAAACACTATATATATATATATATATATATATATATATATATGAAAAAAAATTTTAAGAAACTTGTTATAGACAAATATATGAACACGTATTTCAAAAAATAATAATTTAATTCTTACATCTGCTCCTCGAATAACATCGTTCTTGGAGAAAAATGCCCTTTATGCTATCGGCGGAAGAAAGATGACTGTACTTTAGTTTTTCTCTCTATAAATAAAAATAAACAAAAAATAGAAAAATATATACATGAGTTAAATGAGTGATGTGTGATATATACAAACATAAATTAATTTTTAATAATTAATTAACTATATGAAAAACAATAAACTCAACATAATTATGAAAAAAATATCAAACAAACACATAATAGTATACATTCAATGTAAATACGAATAAATAATAACATATGAGTATTATATACGAAAGAATTTCAAAATATACAACAAAATTACGTGAATCGAATAAACTAAATCCGATATTACACAAATAATTTACAAAAAGAAATTTACGAATTAACAAAAAAGAAATAAGAGAGAGAGAGAGAGAGAGAGAGAGAGAGAGAGAGAGAGAGAGAGAGAGAGAGAGAGAGAGAGAGATGTATGAGTGAAATTGTGTAGTTGATGAATAAGATAGAATGAGTTAGACTTAGTGATATTTATACTTATTTTTTGATACATATATAAGTAAATAATATATTAATAAGAAAATAAATATTAATCGTAAAAAATAAGTATACAATTAGCTAAATATTCTGATTTGATTAGGTTAAGAAATCTTTTAATTATTGATAGAATTAATTGAACATTTAATGGAAAGTTTTTGAATTCAAATAAAAATTGATTAGTTAAATGCATATTTACCAAATATTGCATAGCAAAAATCCGGAATTTTAAATAAAAACAAACAAATCAGATTAAATATAGAAAGTCAATCATAAAATTAAATGTATATTCGGATTTTAGATAATGTTCAAAATATATGAAATATACACACATTTTTTAATTTTTTATTTAAATAATAAAAAAATATAAGTTCATAATATATTAAAATTTATATTCTAATTTGAATTGGAATTTTTAAACACCTAAGTCTATAAATATACTATATTTCCAAGGATAAATGCAAATTAATATGATATCAAAATATATGGAATGATTGACTTTTAATTAATTGATAAAATATGATTGATATATTTTATATCAATCAATGATATATGCCATATTTAATCATTTTCATATATCTTGATAAATTAATTTATTGATAGATTCATTTGAATCATTACTGATTTGTAAAAATATTATTTTTATATTAATAAATTAAAAAATGAATTTTTAATTGTAAATATAAAAATATAAATTTTATAAATTATTCAAATATAATTTATTCAAATTTTATCGGGTATTACAAAATGTTTAAAAGAAAAAAAAATTATTGTATTTTTTCAAATTATTCAAATACACTACAATTTCATAAATTATTCAAGCACACTACAAATTTCTTATATTTATTCATATAATCTTTACATTTCATATATTATTCACATGTATATATATATTTATATATATATAGACATATCTCTTTAAATTACATATGTATATATATAACAATCTATATATGACATTTTCTGGAAAATTAATTAAATATAAATAATATTTTTCAGAATTTTACATATAAAATTAATAGAAAGAATATATATATATATATATATATATATATATATATATATATATATATATATATATATATAAAACAATCATAATATATTCGAATTAATAATATGTTTAATTAAGTAATTATTACATTACAATTCTAATTACAATATTTTTCATTAATACATTTTTAATAAGTTGAAAAACATTTTTATTTCGAAATATTAAAATATTTGAAAAAATTATTGTTAGAAATAATCATATTACAAACTGAAAAAAAAAACTAAAAAAATTAAATAATAATAATAAATTGGTTAGAGTAATTAAATGGAAGAATATAAAATATTAAATTCATGAAAGAATATGTATATGTGGTAAAATGTAAATGAGTGGGCAAATGTTAAATAAGAAACAACTTAAATACATACCAAAATAACAAATGCCAAGTAAGCAACTGGCTAATACACATAAGCAATTGAGTTCCAACTAAGCAATTTGAACAAATGACATCAACATTTGCCACATGTCAATCATATAGGGCATAGATCCTCTTTTTATATTATATATAGATTAGCTGTGACCATTTTTGATTTGTAATTTTGTTCTAAAAGCGAGGATCATAATTCAAAGAAGAGGGCATTTATGTACAATTTTTAAAAGTAAAGTACCAAAAATTAAACAAAAAAAAAAAAACTACACAATAAATAATTAAATTGGATCCAATACTCCAAATAAATTTTATTTTTATAAAACAGAGTAATCACACACGTGTAAATAAAAGGCAAAGCAAAAAGACAAAAAAACATGTATATATATAAAATGTTACATTTCAATCACATTGTAATGACTAATGAGTCCCACGTCATCTGCCATCAAGCACAGTGACAGTGAGCTCGTTGACAGAGTGTCCAACTTGAGTTGAAGGCTGAGTCGACCCGGTCCACTTCTCTGCAAAGAGTGGCTGCTCCGGCGGCGGCAGCTCCAGAATTTCACGGCTGAGCATTGACAGTACAGTTTGAATGGAGGGTCTATCTTTCGGAAATTCTTGCACACACAATAATGCTATCTGAATGCATCTGATAATTTCTTCCTTCAAATCCGGAATTGCTATGCTTTTATCAGCAAAACTCAATCCATTGTCTTCTCTCCACATTTTCCATGCCTGTAATTTATTGTTGTCAAGCAATTAATTATAACATTAATATTAATTAATTATGATGCAAGAAATTAATTAATTTTATGGGAGGATGACAATTTAAAGGCTTACACATCCTAAAAGGCTCAAAGACAATTCTTGATTGTAGTAGTGTGTGTTCTTCTCTCCTTTCACTATCTCTAACATCAGTACACCAAAGCTGTATACATCCGATTTTTCCGAAAATCTACCTTCCATCGCGTATTCTGGTGCCATATATCCACTGCAACGATCATAATATTTTAATTAAAATTCAATTATTTTATCGGAGTCTGGGACGCCAAACAAAAAACGAGACTAATCTTTCCAACCAAACGAGGCCTAAATGTTTAAATTTGAAAAAATGACTTACTATGTTCCAACAACTCTGGCAGTATTTCCATGATCTTGATTGCCTCCGAAAATTCTAGCCATCCCAAAATCGGAGATTTTAGGGTTCCAATCCTCGTCGAGCAATACGTTACTCGGCTTGAGGTCTCTGTGAATTATTCTAAGTCTAGAGTCCCTATGCAGATATAGGAGGCCTCGCCCAATTCCTTCGATAATACTAAATCGTTTCGTCCAATCTAAATCCTTCTGTGATGGATGTGTCGAATCTGCAAAAAAATTTAAGTTAAACATAAGTAAAGAATATAATAAAACTCTGCTCCAGAAAATTCTGTAATTACAAACGACGAATAGGTTAAGAGTTTTGTATGTTGAACTGACCGAATAGACAAACGTCCAAGCTTTTATTAGGCATGTATTCGTAAACGAGCATCTTCTCTTCTTTCTCGACACAGCATCCGTGCAATCTGACAAGATTCCTATGTTGCAGCTTTGAGATCACAATCACTTCATTCATGAACTCTTCCATTCCTTGTCCCGATGCCGCTGAAAGCCTCTTCACCGCTATTTCTTTCCCGTTTCCCAGATTTCCCTAAACCGATTACAAATCCCGTTACAACATATACTTGATATCACATGAACTTAGAGACGGAAAGTGCGGGAAAGCATGTTACCTTGTAAACATGACCGAAGCCACCTCTTCCAAGAAGATTGTTTTCGTGGAACTGATCCGTTGCGTTTGCTAGCGTCTCGAAAGTGAACAACGGCAACTCTTCAATATTAACTTTCTCCGATTCGTCTTTGAGTACGATTGAAGTTGAATCCGATGAAAATGTTTGCCCTGCTTCGAAAACCTTCGTCTCTTTTGTTTTTTTAGCCCCTGGTTTTTAGCACAATGTAAGAATGAGTAACTCCAAAACATAAACCATGTCCAATAACTAATTGATCTCGTCACATCACGCAAAATTTCACCTTTCTTCTTAACCAACCAGCACCAGCCGACGAAGATCAAAACCGATATACAAAAAAACCCCGCCACTATCGGGATTATGATATACAGCTTCTTGTCTTTGTGGTGATCTGAAAACAAGAAGGCAAACAAATAAATATATTTGAAATTCAGTATAAAAAGGCGAAGTTGTCGAAGAAAATATACCTAATTCAGAAGACGGCAGACGAATATAAAGATCGGTACCGACACCGTTAAACTGCTGAACATCGATCAAACTGCCGCTCCAGAACATACAACCGATTTTAAGATCATGCGCGTAAGCAATGCAAGAACAATTCCCCAAACATCGAGTTCTACATTCGTCTTCTTCCCTCGACGAAAACTGTTCCGCGAAATCCGGAACCTTCATATACTGCAGCCTAATAAACCCATCTCCATTTGTGTTATTGCTTTGATCGCACCGCAATTGATTCCTTCTACGGCAGCCACTAGTCCAATTCCCATTCCCCCATTCCTCTGTATTCGTCGGCTCGAACCCTCGCAAACACGAACAAATAGGCGAACCCCGAATATCGCAGCTCCCGAAGGGGCCGCACGTTCCGTAAACATCGCATCGAGTTTGAGGAGCCGACCACGTAACATCCCAACTCTTCTTCTGATCATCCCACAGTGTCTGCAGTAACATTCCAGAAGAATCCAGGCCGATCTTCATCAGAAAATCCGCCGGAGGTGCGGTGAAGTAGACATCGCCGGAGGTGGTATCGTTGACCACGCTGAACCCGTCCAGGTACGGCGAGTACATGTCCTGCACCCCGATGAGAATCTGGCCGTTCCAGGGGCCGCTCCGCCAGTGGGGGCGGCCGTTGTTCCAGGTGAAGATCTGCGGGATGTTCAACGCTTCCAGACCCGCCGTGAAGGTACCCAGTTCCGGGTCGGATCCGTTTTTCCAGGCCGATATGACCACCTTCTTGCCGGTGTTTGTGTTGTCGATAATCTTCATCGTCGGCATGAAAACATTCGATGGGTTTGAGAAGGAGTCCCACACCGTGGCCCCCGTCGCTCCGTCGCGGAGGAGAATATTCCCGGTGTCCTGGATTTGAACGGTGGCGTTCGCCGCAGAGGAGGATGTGACGTTAGTCGACCAGAGGGTTTGGTTTCGGCCGTCGAGGAGTACGAGGTTGCCGTCGTCGGAGATAGTTACGGAGCCGGAGGAATCGTTGAGGGGTTTGTCTCTGTTAGCAACCCAGATCACGGTTGCTTCAGAAACAGCGTAGAAGACACCCAAGTAGCGGTTGGTGGAGTTTTGATCGGGTGTGAAGAACCCCAGTTTGAATACGTTCCGACCGGATACTATGGTGTCGGAATCTCCGATGGATATACCGGCCGATATTGTGTCTGTTTCTAACGAAAAACCCAGAAAAGGAAAGGAAGAAAAAACGAAGAAAAAGAATTGAAGAAGAAACAGATGACGGAATTTCGTAGTGGTCATCGTTGATTGATCGGCGTGAAGAGTTGCTGTTTTGCCGCCGGCAGCCGCCACTGGTAGCATTAAATGTAGCGGTGGTTTGAAAAAATTGAAGTTTGTTGGTTGGTTGGGTGATGCTTGTTTGTGTGTATATAATATATATCCAGAATTGGTGAGAGTGAAGGTCAACTCTCTAGTCAGTTAAATAAATGCTTACACCCAAAAGCCATCAAATTACTGTTTGTTGTTAAATGGAGGACTCTTTGACTAAAAGTCAACCACTTTGGTTTCTTTGTTGAGTGTCCATACTCACAAATGTTATCTTTTTACTTCATTTTTCTCCATTTTTCTCCATTTTTGGGCCCACCAACATAGGCTTTTTGCTCAGAGGAATAAAGACTTTTACGCGTTTTTAGTGTGAAATTCACTTAGATTTCCAAATAGTTCATTTTTCATTCAAATACCAAAAAAAAAAAGGAAAAAAAAATTAAAAATATTGGAATTGAAAAAAAAATATAAATTACATAAATAATTTGAAAAACAAAAAATATCTAATTTAATTTCAAAAGTTACATAAGTAATTGATATTTGAAATTCCCGAAAATCTTACACGTACGTAATTTTTGTAATCAAAAAAATCAATTTTGAATGAGTTTGAACTCACGATGCTCTAATTTCACATTTTCATACGATGCACCGTGCGATGGGGGGCGTAATTACATTATTCTAGTATTCGTACATTTTGTAGATAATAATAAAAAATCAACACCTACCGAAGATAGAAATCATCAGGACGCGTTCATACAACTTTTGACGAAACATATGCAAGGAAAAAATGTGCTAAAGAATTTATTTAATCACAAGGGGGCCCCTGTTTTTTGTTTTTTTTTTCTTCATAAAGGTCAGACATTTTAGTGGGAGATTCCACAAAGGAGGGCTGACTAGGTTCGGGAGTGCTTTGGAATTTGAAGTGAGTAAATTAAATGGGTTTTCAAATTGATTGTGTTAATTAATCATAAAACGACTACCGATTCGTCGAACTGTTGGGCTTTTGTCCAACCGTGACGGACGTAGTTGTGTGGCCGGTTCATTGTCCAGTCCGATTTTAAAAACGTTGCAAATATTATGAGGCTCGTTTTTTTTGTTATTTTTGGAACTTCGGTAATTCAGAAAAATAAATAAATAAAAGAAGAACTGTCAGTATTTCTTAGAGTAAACTGCAAAAAGTACATCTGTGTAATTTTTAAATAGCAAAAAAACATATGTGATAAATAAACTAGCAAAAACTCCCATGTGAAATTCAGTCAAAGGCAAAAACCCCCTAATTGACTTTCGTGTGGGTCACTCGCGAGATGCGCGACTGATAATTGATTTTTGGATGTGAAATGATGAAATTGACCCTCAAAATGTATTTATATATATATATATATATATATATATATATATATATATATATATATATATATATATTTTCTTTTTAATTTGATTGTTTATAAATTAAAAAATTTAGTAAACAATTAAATTGAAAAATTATTAAAAAATTGGTAACTAAATTAAGTATAGATTTTTTTAAATACATAATAATGGAATTTAAGTTTTCTTTTGATGCGGATAATTTAAAATATATACAAAAATTATGTGATAGTAAAATACCTTTATAATTAAGATATAACAAAAAAAAAAAAAAAAAAATATAAGAATTTATTAATTGGAAAATCCCGGGGTATTTGTTTCTTTTTATATCAAGTCAACACGCAAATAAATAATGGGCCGAGTGTGCTATTTAAATAATTTCACATGGGGTTTTTGTCAGTTTATTTATCATAGGAGGATTTTTACTATTTAGAGATTACATAGGGATACTTTTTGCAATTTACTCGTATCTCCCAGTTGCAAATTGATAAGAATCAAATTTTACGATAGTCTCTGGTGCGAGTTTTAAGGATTTAATTTGATGTAATTACTAATTATAACTCAAATGCTGTCAATTACTCAACCTGGATCACTTCTTTGGACTTGTTCATTATTACATATAAAACATTGTAAAAGATCAGTGATGCCATCAAATTGGCGTTACTTATATGTATCAACAGTGTAATGAAAGCATTTGAGGTTCCACGTCAATTATCATCGGCCGTCGAGCGCACTGACAGTGAGCTCGTTAATGGAAAATCCAACTTGAGTTGAAGGCTGAGTTGATCCGGTCCACTTTTCAGCAAAGACTGGCTGCTCCGGTGGCGGCAGATCCACTATTTCACGGCTGAGCATTGACAGTACAGTTTGAATGGAGGGTCTATCTTTCGGAAATTCTTGGACACACAATAATGCTATCTGAATACATCTTATGATATCTTCCTTAAAATCCGGAATTGCTATGCTTTTATCGGCAAAAGCCAATCCATTGTCTTCACTCCACAATTTCCATGCCTGTAATTAATGTTTGTCAACCAATTAATTATAACATTAATATTAATTAATTATGATGCAAGAAATTAATTTATTATATGGGAGGATGACAAATTAAAGGCTTACACATCCTAAAAGGCTCAAAGACAATTCTTGATTGTAATAGTGTGTGTTCTTCTCTCCTTTCACTATCTCTAACATCAGTACACCAAAGCTGTACACATCCGATTTTTCCGAAAATCTTCCTTCCATCGCGTATTCTGGTGCCATATATCCACTGCAACAATCATCATATTTATATATATGTTAGCATATACTATACGTACAGATGGTTGAATTTGAAAGATTCACTTACTATGTTCCAACAACTCTTGCAGTATTTCCATGATCTTGATCGCCTCCGAATATTCTAGCCATCCCAAAATCGGAGATTTTAGGGTTCCAATCCTCATCGAGCAATACATTACTCGGCTTGAGGTCTCTGTGAATTATTCTAAGTCTTGAGTCCCTATGCAGATATAGGAGTCCTCGCCCAATGCCTTCGATAATATTGAAACGTTTCTTCCAATCTAAAATACTTCGTGATGAACCAAAGAGATAAATATCCAAGCTTTTATTGGGCAAGTATTCATAGATGAGCATCTTCTCTGCTTTATCTACACAACATCCGAGCAATCTGACAAGATTCCTATGTTGGAGTTTGCAAATCACAATCACTTCATTCATGAATTCCTTCACTCCTTGTCCAGATGCCGCTGACAGTCTCTTCACAGCTATTTCATGATTCCCATCTGCTAAGTTTCCCTAGTTACCAAAAAAAACAAAATAAAAAAACAAGAAATTTGATTTAGCCAGCACTTGTGATTTGATGAAAAAAATTATATTATAATGAGGATATATATATATATATATATATATATATATACATACTTTGTAAACGGGACCAAAACCACCCTTCCCCAGAAGGTTTTTATCGTGAAATTGATCGGTTGCATTTGCAAGCATCTCAAAAGTGAATAATAGCAAATCCTTCATATTAACTATCCTTGATTCATCTTTGAGTGCCATTTCAGTTGAATCCGACGAGTATGTTATTAGCCCTGCTTCATCATTCTTCTTCTTCACATTTATCTTCTTCCCTAATCAATTCACAACAAATTATATATGAGTGACAGACAACGTCTAAATATACTTATAATGTTCAAGAAACCAGTCCATGTGCACGAGAGGTTTTACCTTTCGCCTTAACCATCCAGTACCAAGCAATGAAGATGATGAAAACAACAACAACAACAACAACCACGACCGATATTATTATGAACAATTTCTTGTCTTCTGAAAAAAAGAAAAAGAAATACGCGATCATAAATTCTAAAATTAGGTGAAAAAAAAGAATCCAGAGAGTAGTTTTGTGAAAGAAAGTACCGAAATCAGAAGCGGACAGACGAAGGTAAAGATCAACACCGATGCGATTGAACTTCTGAATGTCGATAAGAGAAGTAGTGTTGCTCCAAAACATGCAGCCTATGTTAGGATCATGTGCATAAGCTATGCACGAGCAATTCATCAAACACCTGGCACGGCATTCTTCTTTCCTTGTAGCCGAATAATACTGTTGAGCAAAATCCGGAACATTCACAAACTTGAGCCTCAAAAACCCATCTCCACTTTTTCCTCCACCAGTATCATTATTCCGATGAGTACACTGTAATAGATTTATTCTCCGGCAACCACTAGTCCAATTCCCTCTCCCCCATTCCGCCATGTTCGTGGGCTCAAACCCTTTCAGACAAGAACAAACAGGCGAGTATTGAGTGTGGCAGATTCCAAACGCGCCGCACGTGCCGTAAAGGTCGCACACGGTTGAAGGATTCATGGCTGCAACATCCCAACTCATCTTCTGGTCATTGTAAAAGGTTTGCACCAAAGTACCAGAAGAATTGAGGACAACCATGGATAGAAGCCTCCACCGGTCGGGAACGGTGAAGTAGAAAGTTCCGTCGCTGTCGTTCTTTATGCTTGCAGTATTCAGGTAGAGTGAGTACATCTCTTTTATACCCATAAAAATCCGGCCGTTCCACGGGCCGCTCCTCCAATGCGGGCGGCCGTTTTTCCAAATGAAAATTTGTGGGATATTCAAAACTTTGATCCCGGAAGTGAAGCTTCCTAATCTAGGATCGGACCGATCATTTCTCCACGACGACAAGACCACCTTTTCACCCGTGTTTATGTTTTTGCTTATTTTCATAGTTGGCAGGTAAACATTCGAAGGGTGTGAAAAGGATTCCCATATTGTGGCTCCTGTTGCATTGTCCCGCAGGACGAGGTTTCCACTGTCCGTAATCTGAGCGGTGGTGGTATTCGTTGTGGCGGCGGCGGCGGCGTTGGTGGACCAGACGGTTTGGTTTTTGGAGTTGAGGAGCACGAGGTTGCCGTCATCGGCGATCTTGACGACGCCGGAAGAATCGTTGACGAGGGGTTTTTCTCGGTTGGCGACCCATACAACGGTGGTTTCAGAGAAGTTGTAGAAGACGGCCAAGTAGCGGTGGGTGGTGTTGCCGGCCTCGGGGGTGAAGAAGCCCAGTCTGAAGAGGTGGCGGTTGGATACGATGGTGTCTGGGTCTCTGATCGATAAACCGGGTGAAATGGTGTCTGTTTCTAAGCAGAAGAAACTCGAATAAAGGAAAATGGATTGGAGAATAAAAAGTTGAACGATACTGAAGAACATCATCATTGATTAAATAAACATGTAAGCACTAATTATTTTTTCTTTTTTTTTTTTTTTCTGAGAGTTGGTTGGTATTTAAGTAAAATGGTGGAAAGTGAGGGTCAAAAAGGTAAGTCGTCCACTGTAACTATGAAACAAATTTTTTTTTTGTCAGTAGAGCAGCACCACACTTGGGTCGATGGACCACAGATACCCAAAGGCGATTGAGATTCCACGTCGTCATCGGCCATCAAGCACAGTGACAGTGAGATCATTTACAGACTGTCCAACTTGGGTTGAATGCTGAGTTGACCCGGTCCACTTCTCTGCAAAGACTGGTTGCTCCGGCGGTGGCAGCTCCACTATTTCACGGCTGAGCATTGACACTACAGTTTGAATGGAGGGTCTATCTTTCGGAAATTCTTGCACACACAATAATGCTATCTGAATACATCTTATAATCTCTTCCTTAAAATCCGCAATTGCTATGCTTTTATCGGCAAAAGCCAATCCATTGTCTTCTCTCCACATTTTCCATGCCTGTAATTCATCAAGTAATAACATTAGTATATTTTGTAATGTAAGAAATTAATTTATTATTTGGGGGGATGACAAAAATTAAAGGCTTACATATCCTAAAAGGCTCAAAGACAATTCTTGATTGTAATAGTGTGTGTTCTTCACTCCTTTGACTATCTCTAACATCAGTACACCAAAGCTGTACACATCCGACTTTTCCGAAAATCTACCTTCCATCGCGTATTCAGGTGCCATATATCCACTGCAACAATCATCATCAATGTTAACATATACCATATATATATGTGTGAATGGTTAAATTTGAAATTGACTTACTATGTTCCTACAACTCTGGCAGTATTTCCGTGATCTTGGTTGCCTCCGAATATTCTAGCCATCCCAAAATCGGAGATTTTAGGGTTCCAATTCTCATCGAGCAATACATTACTCGGTTTGAGGTCTCTATGAATTATTCTAAGCCTCGAGTCCCTATGCAGATATATGAGGCCTCGCCCAACGCCTTCAATAATACTAGATCGTTTCTTCCAATCTAAATCCTTTCGTGATGGATGTGTCGAGTCTGCAAAAAATTGAAGTTAAACATAAGTAAAGAATAAAACTCCGCTGCAGAAAATTCTCTGATTATAAACAGCGAATAGGTTAAGATTTTGTATGTTGAACTGACCAAAGAGACAAACGTCCAAGCTTTTATTAGGCATGTATTCGTAAACGAGCATCTTCTCTTCTTTCTCGACACAGCATCCGTGCAATCTGACAAGATTCCTATGTTGCAGCTTTGAAATCACAATCACTTCATTCATGAACTCTTCCATTCCTTGTCCCGATGCCGCCGAAAGCCTCTTTACCGCTATTTCTTTCCCGTTTCCAAGATTTCCCTACCAATTAAAAATCCGGCCATTTCAATACCTTTTATTACACAGAGACCCAATAAAAAAAGGAAAAAAAAATAGATCAAGTATGTTACCTTGTAAACATGACCAAAGCCACCTCTTCCAAGAAGATTGTTTTCGTGAAACTGGTCAGTTGCGTTTGCTAGTGTCTCGAAAGTGAATAATGGCAACTCTTCAATATTAATTTTCCCAGATTCGTCTTTGAGTACAATTGCAGTTGAATCCGATGAAAGTGTTTGCTCTGCTTCGAAAATCCTTTTCTCTTTTGTTTTTCCTCCTGAGTTTCACAAGGAATATGAATGAATAAATAACTAAACTTAAATCGTGTTCAATAAATTGATCCATCACATCACGCAACGCAAAATCTCACCTTTCCTCTTAACCAACCAACACCAGCCAATGAAGATCAAAACCGATATACAAACAAACCCCGCCACTATCGGGATAATGATATACAGCTTTTTGTCTTTGTCGTTATCTGCATCGGGAAATAAAAGAGAAACAAGATCAGTGAAAATTGGTAAAGAATGCTGAATATTACAGCTTCTGAGTTTGATCAGTACTATATTACTAATAGATCATAAATTTAGTTGGTAAAGAAATAAATGGAGAAACTTGTGAAAGAAAGTTACCCAAATCCAAAGCCGAAAGACGAAGGTAAAGATCAACACCAACACCAGTAAACTTCTGAACATCGATCAAAGCAGTAGTGTTGCTCCAAAACATGCAGCCGATGTTAGCATCATGCGCATAAGCTATGCAAGAACAATTCCTCAAACATCTCCTCCGACACTCATCTTTGTCTCCCGCCGAAAACTGATCAGCAAAATCCGGAACCTTCATAAACTGCTCCATGAAAAACCCATCTCCACTTTTACCATTGTTTTGAATATCACACTGCAATTGATTTATTCTCCGGCACCCACTAGTCCAGTTCCCTCTCCTCCATTCCTCTGTATTTGCAGGCTCAAACCCTTTCAGACAAGAACAAACAGGCGAACCCTGATTATTACAGCTTCCAAAGGGCCCACACGTGCCGTAAATGTCGCATCCAGTCTCGGGAGCCAACCATAATGCATCCCAACTCTGCTTCGGTTCACTCCACAGCGTCAGAGCTAAGCTTCCGGAAGAATTCAGCTCCACCTTCGACAAGACTCTCCACTGGGGAAAGGTGAAGTAGAAAGTTCCGGAACTATCGTTGGATATACTAGCGGTACTGAGTAGCGCAGAGTACATATCCCTTACCCCGATAAGAATCCGGCCATTCCACGGGCCGCTCCTCCAGTGGCGGCGGCCGTTTTTCCAGATTAAAATTTGCGGGATATTCAGAGCCACAACTCCGGAGGTGAAGCTTCCTGTTTCAGGGTTAGAATCATCATTTGCCCACGAAGACAAAACCACTTTCTTGCCCGTATTTATGTTGTCGGTTATATTCATAGTTGGCACGTAAGTATTCGTGGGGTACGAAAAGGATTCCCAGATTGCGGCTCCTGTTGCATTGTCACGCAAAACAAGGTTTCCAGAGTCTGTAATATGTGCAGTGGTGGTATTTGCTGAGGTGGCTGTGGAGTTGGTCGACCAGATGGTTTGATTTTGACCGTTGAGGAGCACGAGGTTTCCGTTCTGTGACATAGTTACAGAGCCAGAAGAATCTCTGAGAGGGTTGTCTCTGTTGGCTACCCATATCACGGTTTTCTCAGAAACGTTGTAAAAGACACCCAAGTAGCGGTTTGTGGAGTTGGTATTAGGGGTGAAGAACCCTAACTTGAAGACATGCCCAGGAGATATAATAGTGTCCGGATCTTTGATGAATAAACCGGACGAGATCGTGTCTGTTTCTAAGGAAAAACCCAGGAAAGGAACGCAAATTATTACAAAGAAAATGGCGGGTTTTGTGTTCCTCGTCATGTTAATCATGAACTGCTGGTCTGCAAGTTGCTGGTTATAAATACTTAAAATTAAATGACATATATATATACACACACATATATATATATCCAGAATTGTATGTAATGGGTTTCATCTGTCAAATCCAGCAGGACCAGTACTTTAGTTTTAGTCCAGTAACAAGACCAGCAAATGTTTGTGCCTTGACGAAATATACGGTGAACGAGAGAGGCCACGATAGATAGGGTATAAAAATTCAAATTTTAGTGGGAAGATTCCATCGAGGACGGCAGAATTTTCTTCCTTTTTTACTCCGTAGAAATTTGTATTCTTCAATCTGGAAACGTCCTCTTAATTCTCGTAAGATTCTTTTCCTTGATTCAAAGAAGAAAATTCAATCTTACGTACGTGTCAAAGAAGTGGTGACTGACTGGAACAAATACATTTTTTTTTTCTTTTATGGAAATTAAAGTGGACTTGTTGAGAGAGACAGAAACTAAAGGCGTGAATCGATCGATCACCTAGAACATAGAATCATCGCCCCTCGAGTACTGTAATACTGACATTATTATTGGATGACCCTGTCATTGACTGGCTCTGGGAGGAAGAAGAAGTCAATGGACAAATCCGATTCGGCCTCTGCGTAAATGCAGGCTGTTCTGGCAATGGCAGATCTGCAATTTCATTACCAAGCATTGCAAGAACATTTGATATACTAGGTCTGTTAGCAGGAAATTCTTGCACACACAGAAATCCAATTTGTATGCACCGAATTATCTCGCCCTCAAACATTGGACTCGATATTCTCTCATCTATTAATGCCTCAAAATTGCCTTCTTTCCATATTTTCCATGCCTGTTAGAAAAATAATTTAAGCTCCAATCATATTGCAACACATATTAAAAAAAAAAAAAAAAAACCCGGCTTGGCTTACATGTTCTAGAAGGCTCGAAGCAATCTCGTCATTATAAAAGCTCGTATTTCTTCTACCGCATATAATCTCCAACACTAAAACCCCGAAACTGAACACGTCGGATTTTTCCGAAAATCTTCCTCCCAATGCATATTCAGGGGCCATATATCCACTGCAGCAAATTCAATGTGGTTAGCTACTATACTATATAAAAAAATAGTTTAATAAATAGGAGCGAATTTAAATTGTTTTTTACTAACTATGTTCCGACGACTCTAGCAGTATTGGCTTGATCTTCAATTCCTCCGAATATTCTAGCCATGCCGAAATCCGAAATTTTAGGGTTCCAATTCTCGTCTAGCAATACATTGCTCGGCTTTAAGTCCCTATGAATTATCCTCAATCGTGAATCTCTGTGGAGATAAAGGATGCCTCGCCCAATACCTTCCATTATATTGAAACGTTTTTTCCAATCTAGAATCTCTTGAGCTTGATCTGTATCATCATATTTATTTTTTGCCAGAGTAAATATAAATCAAGATAAGTGCTTAATACTCAAAATTTTGTTTTACTAATTTATCGGGAAAATTTAAGTTAATACTGACCGAAGAGAAAGACATCGAGGCTTCTGTTGAGCATGAATTCATATATGAGCATCTTTTCTTCATTTTCGACACAGCAACCTAACAAACTGACAAGATTCCTGTGTTGGAGTTTGGAAATTACGACCACTTCATTCATGAATTCTTGCAGCCCTTGTCCGGATGCTCTCGAAAGCCTCTTCACAGCAATTTCTTTCCCATTTGACAACTTTCCCTATATATAATATACAATTAGCAATAACAATGTATGATGGCTTAATAAAAATTATATAAAAAAAAAGGAAGAATAGATCACCTTATATACAGGTCCAAAACCACCTTTCCCGAGTAGATTCGCTTCGTCAAATTGGTCCGTAGCCTTAGCAAGCATCTCAAAGGTGTACAACGGTAAATCGTCAAGGCTAGCTCCATCCACATCATCTCTTAGCACTATCTCAGTTGAATCTGACGTATATGCCCTTTTTCTCTCATGTGCTGACTCTTTGCATTTTCTTTTTGCTCCTGATTCCAAAATAATAATATAAATTTGTTTTCCAGGACTAGTAAGTATCCAACATACTACATACAAAAACAGGTTCTCTCACGAAAGAATTACCCGTTTTCTTATTCCTCCACAGCCAAGAACCAAATATGCATACGGATATAGCCACCAGTCCGGTTATCACAGGGACTATGATAATCAATTTTCGGCCCTTCTTCTCATCTAAAAATAATAATAAGACATACAAACAGTTATTTTATTTAGATCTATTAATAAAATTTATAACAGAAAACGCAAATATATCAATGTACCTAGTACAGAATATGCAACGCGAATGTAAAGATCGGAGCCACCACTCGGGTACTGCCTAACATCCATCAAAGTATCCCTCCAAAACATGCAACCAATACCAGGATCATGCGAATACGCTATGCAAGAACAATTCCCCGAGCACAAACTCTCGCATTCATCTCTCCTACCTTGCGAAACCTCAATAAAATCAGGCACCTTAACGTTTGTCAGCTTAGAATATCGATCTCCTCTGTTTGCATCGCTCGAATTAACACTTCTCTCACACTGCAAACTACTCCTCCTTACGCATCCACTGCTCGAGTTCCCTCTACCCCATTCCACCTTGTCCACCGGTTCGTACCCTTTCAGACAGCTGCACATAGGCGAATGTCTCAAATTACAATTCCCAAAACGCCCACAAGCACCGTAAACATCACAAGCATCGATCGGAGCAACCCACGTGACATTCCAGTCCCTCTTAGCCTCGTCCCACATTGTCTGAACGAAACTCCCGTTCGGCTTCAGAATGACCTTCATCAAGAGACTGCCGTAGTAATCTCGGGTAAACGAGACCGTGCCATCACTTTGCCTGGTCACACTGTAACCATCGAGATAAACCGCGTACATATCTGTCACCCCCGTAAGAATAAGACCATTCCATGGCCCGCTTCTCCAGTGGGGCCGACCCATATTCCATATGAAGACTTGGGGAATGCTCAAAGCTTGTAGCCCAGCGGTAAAATTTCCGAAATCTGGATTCTCCAGAGTTTTCCATGATGTTAGTACCACCTTTTCACCAGTATTGATGTTGTCGGTTATTTTTAACGTTGGCAGGAAAGCGTCACCAGGGTGTCTGAAACTCTCCCATAGTACTCTTCCATTCGAGTTGTCTCGCAAGATGAGATTTCCAGTGTCGAGAAGCTGAGCGCTTGTGTTCTTTGAAGAGTTGGAGACATTTGACGACCAAACGATCTCTTTTTCTGAAGTGATGAGAACTAGATTGCCATCTTCAGACACTGTTATAGCTCCAGGAGAATCTTTAACGAGTGGCTTGTCCCGATTGGCTACCCAGACAATGGATGTTTCAGAAACAATATTCCATATGCCCATATGCCGGTTAGTGGTATTCGGAGGGCTGAAGAATCCCAGCCTGTAAACCTTGCCATTCGAGACAATGGTTTCCGGGTCTTTGACTATCAGAGTTCTTGAAATGGTGTCTGTTTCCAGGCAAGAACCTAAATGTGAAATCAAGAGTATTAGTACAAGGGATTCAAGAACATGTTTTGGGGTTGTGTGAGAGATTGGCATTTTGGATCTCTCAACTTGCTAATTGGTAAAAAACAGTAGATATAGATAGAACTAATAACAGAAAGATGGCTGCATTTTCTTTCTTTCTTCGCCGAAATTTCTGACTTGGGGATTCGGGATTTGCCATATCCAGTTCTGCTTTGCTCTTATTAGGATATTCTTCAACAGTCAATTGTTTCGCCAAACAAGTGAAAATGCGTAGATGCAAATTGCAATACTATTTTATTTCCAGTGGGTGGATATCTTAAATCCTGTCGTAAAGCGTTTTGGAGTATATATATATATAGAGTAAAAAGCAGTTTGCCCCCTAAACTAAGGGTCGATTTGCACTTTACCCCCCAAACAAAAAAAATTTGCACGTTTTTACCTGAACTCGTTAATTCGTTGCACGGTGCCCCCTAAACTCAATTTTCCGGCAATTTTGACCGTAATGTTAAAACATGTGATTTGCACGTGAGATTTTGAGGGGTAAATTCGTCCCTTCACTTGCATTTTAATATTAAATACAAATAGATATTAAAATTAAAAAAAAAAAAAAAAAAAAAAAAAAAAAAAAAAAAAAAGGGAAAAAGAAGCATTTCATCCATCACCCACCTTCCTTACCAAACCCAATCTATCCCTGTAAAAAAATTCTCAAAAACTAATTTAATAAATTTCCAAAATTTTCCTACTATACAGTATACGCTACCAAAATACTGATCAGAAACAAGAATATAACATACAAAAAAAATCGGAAAAAAATAAAAAAGAAATTCCGACGAAAAACTTACAGCTCTTAGCAAAGATCTCCTATCCCTCTCCCGAGCATTCTTGATTGCCTAAAGCAGCAAACAATTGGTAAGTTTCTAACTCAACTAACATCAGTGACTATACCATTAACCAATTCATAAAAAAAAAAAAAAAAAACCTTAATTTTTTATCAATCTTTCTCGATTTTTCTAGCATTTTGAAAGAAATCGTTTCCAATCAATCTGTTCTTTACAGCGATAAAAAACCCCCCTGTTATTTCCGAATACGGCCTGAATCTACCGCCGACTTCCTGCAATCACACACACACACACAAATCGGAGAAATTAGATATACAGAAATTACAGAGAGGCGAGGTTTTAGTGTGTGTTTTTCGGAAAGAGAGAAGGTGGTCGAAGACTCGATCGGCAAATGGAGGAGGAAAGCGAGACAAGTAATGGCATCGGCGGCCGGCGGGTGACGGAATTTTTTTGCTGGGATGGGTTTGCGATGGCGGTGGCACAGTGGGCGAATGTGTGAAGAAGACAAAATATTTTTTTATTTTTTGTTTTCTTTGTTTTGTTTTTATTTTCTATTTTTTTTGTTTTTTTAAAGAATAATTTATATTTAATATTAAAGATGTAAGTGAATGGACGAATATACCCCTGCAAATGTCACGTGCAAGGCACATGTTTTAACTTTTCGGTCAAAATTGCCGGAAAAATTAGTTCAGGGGGCACCGTGCAACGAATTAATGAGTTCGGGTAAAAACGTGCAAATTTTTTTTGTTTGGGGGGTAAAGTGCAAATCGGCCCTTAGTTTAGGGGGCAAACTGCTTTTTACTCATATATATATACATATATTGTATTCACACATGACAGAAATTGCCCATTTGCATCAATCTGTTTTCAACTTTACATATCGACATAAAATTTCACTGAAATTTAAAATTCTCGACTTGGAATTCAATTAAGTAATTATTAGGTATAATAACAGATAGTTTTGATTAAAAAGTTATTCTAGCATCATGAAACAACGACTCAATTTACCGGGGGGTTTGAACTACATGAATTATGGTGTTATGGTGTTAGTACTCCGACGGTGATTTCATCGGCGCCGTAGATTTGGGTAGGATGAGGAAGACAATCCGATGAGAGGGCAACTTGCCCTATCTTCGAATTCTGGGTGCTCCGCCGTCGTAGGTTTTGGTTTGGAGAAGCGCCGCCGAAAAACAGAAGTCAGATACGGCGGCGGTGTAGTGGAGGGCGGCTGTTGAAGTGAGTGGCGTCGAATCTTTTGAGGATTTGGGCCACAAAGCAAAACCTGATCCGGCCCACATTATTTTTAGCTTTTCAGTGGGTTTGCCCAAAACTTAAAATTTAATAATCAATTCAAAATAATATTTATTTGTATGGAAATTAAAAAAAATATATTATATATATATATATATATATGTGTGTGTGTGTGTGTGTGTGTATAACAAATTTATAATATATTCATGTACTTTTAATATTTTTTATACGTTATACATATGTTTTACCTAAGTTCCCGATTCTCCATTTTTTTAACATGTAGTTTCTCCGTATTTGTTTCTCAATTCCCGTATCGAACTGTGTCCGTGCGCTACATAGTTCAGAATAATTTAGTACAAAAACATTAATCTAATTAAGTGGTATTTCCATCATGTATCAAGGCATAAAATTCAATGAGATTGCATTATTGCGTGAAAGGGGGCTCATCCACCAACTTGTCATGGGCATGGTTGTATATTATTTTTAACTTTTGTCACCAAATTATTTATTTCATATTAAATATATATTTCTATATATTACATATATAAATTTATTTATGTTTGTTTTAACATATTCATAATATATTCAAATACTTTTAATATTTACACGCTTTACCCAAGTTCTCGATTCTTCATTTTTTTAACACGCAGTGTCTCCATATCTGTTTCCCTGTTTCCGCGTATCGATGTTTATGTGTCCGTGATACATAGTTCCGAATAATTTAGTACGAAAACATTAATCTAATTAAGTGGTATTTCCATCATGCTTTGGGCACATAACATCCAAAAAATGGAGGCATAAAATTCAATGAGATTGCATTATTGCATGAAAGGAGGGCTCATCCACCAAAACTTATCATGGGCATGGTTGTATATTATATTTATTTTTTGTCACCAGATTATTTGTTTCATATATTAAATAAAAATAAACCATGACCCTTGCTATCTTCTCAACCAGAACTTCCTCTGTTTTCATTTTTTATTTCTCTCGTCAAATCCTATATAATTTATTTAAAAAAAAAATATTATTTTATTGGGAAAATGGGTTTGATTGTAGTCTATTTGGGTTGGGTCACCTAGTCAAATATATAATAAAGAAAAACAACTAGACAATGATTAAATATGTAGGCCCAAAATTGAACACGCAGTCGCATCAAAAGGCCCACTAATCCCACTCGTTTGGTTAATGGACAAGGACTCAATTATACCCTTTGCTTTGTTTTATCTCAAAAGTTTATTTGTTTCATTCCCAGTGTTCGAAACGTAAATCGTAAATATGAACTCGTGAAATCTTGTTTGCAGTTTGTTGATGTAGATCATTTTTGTGTCCGATCCACATTAATTTCTTGCGTTGGTTATTCTCTTTTATTAATTATAATTTGTGTCTAAATAAAAATTATAGTTGCAACAGACTACTGTCCTAACAAGTAAATTGTTGTTACAACTATTTTATACGGTGTATGATACGATAAATGGAATGAAATTCATAGACTTTAGGATAAAAACATATCGTTAATTATCTTAAGTATCGTTTACTTGTAAATAGTAGTGGTTAGCACATGCAAAATGGATACATAATATGAAAAAGGCAAAAAAGAAAGAATATTACCTAACTATGGCAACTTACAAAGTATGCAAAGGCCACCAATCTTTACTTCCCAATCCTCCAATCACTTACTTAGATGATGCTCAACATTTTTTCATATTTCACTAATATATAATAATGTCACACACCGTTAATTAAATATTATAAAAACATTAGACTAATAATTTATATTAGAACCCACTCTCTACTGTCTAAAGATTTCATCCCTACAAATCCCATTAAAAGAAAACATTTTTTTTAATATTTTTTTTTTTAATTCAACTTTCTTATAGAGATCAACTTGCAGTTTCTTTCCCCTGTTTTTGACCTTCCACTCTTTAAAAATTCATCTCCCCTGTTTCAGCCGCAATGCCAGGAAAAAATAAAACCTGTGCTATAAACACAGGTTTCCCTGAGTACTGAAACATAGTACAAACAAATTAAGGAAGATGAAGAAATGTGAGCTGTGTAAGAAGGTAGCAAGAATGTACTGCGAGTCCGACCAAGCAAGTCTGTGCTGGGATTGCGATTCCAGGGTTCACACCGCGAATTTCCTCGTCGGCAAACACACGAGGACTCTGCTTTGCCATTCGTGTCAGTCTCCAACACCGTGGACGGGGTCCGGTCCCAAGCTGGGCCCCACGGTTTCTGTCTGCAACGCCTGTGTCAATGGGCGAGACTCGAACGTAGGCAGAGATAGTGGGCCCGTTAATCGGAACACAGAAGATGATGAAGACGAAGATGAAGATGAAGATGAAGACCAAGATGATGATGAAGATGATGAGGAAAATGGTGTTAGCGTTGATGAAGACGATAGTGAAAATCAAGTTGTGCCGTTGTCGTCTCAGCCTACATCATCTTTTGCTTCCACTTCTTCCGGCAGTGAAGAAGAATCTTCCAGAAGAAGAGATGGGTTTACGACAGCACTTGTCGAAAATTCCAGGTCTCCTTATAATGTATGTATCTCCTTTTTCTTCATCTTCTGCAATAACTGATGTACGCTTTATTTTTTATAGTAATTTTGTTGTTTTCTTTGATCGCTTCTTAGGTTGTCGAAAGGCCGAAAGAGAGTAATCGCTCTCGGAATATCGAATCATGGATGTGGAGATGAGGGACTATTCATCATGTTAGATTTTAATTGTTTTTAACTTATAAACATTATTTAGATATTTCATGTTTAATGTATGTGTAATGTCCGTTTATGTTCGAGTTCGAGTTCCAGTTCATTCTTGATATCACACTGTTTTTTAACTAATCCTCTTAATCCATGATTTGGTTAATAATCACATGTATAACTCAACTTTGATGTGCTTGACTTTGTAATATATGACATGTTAGTCACTTGGCATACAAGATTAGACGAGAGGGTTGACTTTACGTAAGTGGTGTGTGTATAGACAATGGCCATCGTCAAGTTGCTTCGATATTTCTATGGAGGTTGTGTCAGAATGCTCGTGAATACAAGTTTTCCACATATATACATACATGAACTAAACTAAATTAAAATTCCCAAAATTTGTAATGAAATGTAATAATAGGAGACAAGTTGAGTTTTTTCATATGGTGTGCATTTAGTGAGTATTTGATGTGGTGATAGCAACACATAAGAATCCGTGTTTGCTCCAAATTCCATCCCTAACAGTCGCTATCAAACAACACACACTGACTAGTGTCCAGGTTTTTTTTTTCTTTTTTTTTTTAATTTAAAAATAAATAAAACGAAAAGCATTTAAATGGAATCAACTGTGCATGGATCTGGACCTGATGATTTCACATCAGACAGCGAATTCCTGGAAGCTGAATTTCTCACCCTACACGTGTTCGTCCATGGTTTATTTGTACTACTACTTTTGTTTGCATGTAATTAATTAAACCCCCCATTCTAATTAAACATGTTTAACTCAGATAATCTAATGAATCAATTTACAGGATTTCTGAATTCTTGGGGTTTTTTTAGTACTAAAAAATAGCTCTTTGGGGGTGGTGGTGCTGCTGCACTTAACCATTTAAAAAATTGTTACAAACTGAATAATTCCGACATGTACACGTGCCTAACACGAGACCCATAACTCATAATTAAGCACCATCTGCATTATACAAATGACAAGTTGATTTAGATTATATTGCAGTTTATTATTAATGATGGGGTTCAGTGCTGGAGTGAATCCATTATTAGTGGCCATAATTCATTGCCGCTGCATAAAGAGAGAATCAACAAATATTTGGTTGAATAAAAAAATAATATAAAAAGTTGTGGACCAAAATATTCAGGGATGGGATATTAATTTTTTTTAGGGCAAAGTACAGTTTACACCCCTGAACTATAAGGGTTGTACCAGTTTGCCCCCTGAACTATAAAACGTCCCAAATACCCCCCTCGAGTTTATGGTCAACCATTAAATTATTAACACTTTTAATTTAAATGTGCAATTACTTTTCTGCCCTTGGGGGTTTGTTGTAAGAAACTTCATAATTATATAATTAATACGTGTTTTATTTGTCGATTTTGTTATGAATTTGTGACGAAGTAAATTTATGGTTTGCATGATTTTCTTAATTGTGTTTAATTTTTGGATTCAGTATGTTTGCTAATTGTCCTTTTGTTCAATTTTGTGCATTTTTTGTTTATGCCCTTAATTAAATGCATAACTTTGGGGGTGATTTTTGTGCATTATAAGATGTCTTGTACCACGAAGTACAAAAATTTTGTGTTACTCGACATTTTAATAAATTTTAGAAGAAAAAAACAGTGGCCTTTTAGTGGTTAAATAATGAGAAGAAAAACGGAAATACGAGAAAATAAACCCGAAAATATAGAGCAAAAAATATTGACAACATAAAAAAAAAATTCAGTGAAAAAGCTTTAATATATATATATACATATATATATATATATATATATATATATATAATTGAATAGAGGGGCAAAGTAGTCACAAAATGTCCAAATGTATAAAAAATAGCTAGAAATTATAAAGTCAAAGTGCCACGTCAGCATTTACAAATAAAATTTAAATATAGGGGGGTTTTGGGACGTTTTGTGGTTCAAGGGGGCAAACTGGTACAACCCCTATAGTTCAGGGGTGTAAACTGTACTTTGCCCTTTTTTTTTATGTTACAAAACCAGCCACTCCCTTATCTTAAGGCAAAGCAAAGGTATTTTTACAAACTTGCTATTAAAATAACCTTAATTCTGAGCAATTTGGCTAATTACACATCTTGCTACATCTAACAGATTCTCAGTGGCGATTTTCGGATGATTCATTTAGTTTTCAATGCAGATATCGGACAATCGTAAATACACACAACGACAGAAATGTGAATAAAACTGGAAGAGTGTATTTGTACAGCGGTTCGAAAAGAGAAGGGAAGAAAAACGGAACTAATCAACAATGGTGATCAATCCAACTCCAAAGTGAAATTAATACAGCAGCCAAAGCACAAATAGAAAGAAAGACTTCGACACAATTTAGCACACGTTCTTTCACATGCTACAACACACATCCATAATTACCATTTCACTCTCTCTTGAAAAAGGAGAAAAAAAAACCGACCTTATCGAGTCATCTGCTCAAGAAGTCTTCTCGACATCTGTATGAGATTAAGACAGCACAAAAAAAATTAATAAGTAAAAGGTAATCACAAAAGGCATAGGTTTGTAATTCTAAAGATGTCACACACATAAGTCACACACGAAACGAAATATCAATGATTAAAAGGAGATAAGAAGGAAGAAATCTGAATCTCTATTTTCTGCCAAATCAGGTGATAATGCCTCTCTCGACAACACAAGCATATACGCACATTTTCAATCGAACACAAGTGTAATATATTAATTTGAGTTCCCATTTAGTGGTTATAAATATGCGTGCAATTTATAGAAGCAGAGCTACATTGTTATGTCAATCTCATTGTCTTAGAATCGTTGGCACAGTTTGGTAAACGATGCCATAGAAATGAAGCAAAGCATACAACTCCCGTACAAGAGAGCATTTAAACCTCAAATCGACATAGTTTCTGGGATCTAATAATACTTTCTTCTGTCATTGTTTTCGGTCAAAATCATTTCTCATGTTAATCCGCAGATGAACGTTCTTGCTTCACTGACCTACTTTGTGTAACTTTGTTCTTCTTCCTCTAAACGAGGTTAATAAATAAATATCGTTTCTTCCACTGTCTCTAGGCAATTAATATGTGTGCAATATTGGTCAAGCTGGGCGAGTATTTCAAAATGTTACAGCAACAGGAGGGGTTACCAGAAAAATGGTAACCAAATTATAAAAAAAAAAAAATCATTTAAAAAAACTAATGTTAGAAACTTATATAAAGGGAGGCAACATACGTAATCGTCCACGATTTACCCGATTAGATGATTGGCCATTGTTGAACAAGAAACTGGATGTAACACACACACACACACACACTAGCCTACTAACTTTCAGCAACGACGTGCATTTCCCTTCAGCTCAACTTACACTGAAACTCAATAGACTTACTAGGAAATTCATGGTGTCTAACTCGCAATCAACCCAACTATCCATGGTGCACTATGTAGTGACAATGTTTATCTCGAGCAAATAAAATCAATAACCCTACATATCAAAGTCACACGAAACTCAACTTCCAAATGAAGCTTATTTTTTTCCTTGATCAAATATTTCATTTTATGCACAAAGTTCGCAAGTCATCCAAACAGATAGAAAATCAAACAAATACGCCTCGAATCCATAATTAAAGAAGAAAAAAAAATCAGCACAAATAACAGTAATCAAAACCTCAAGCAATTCTACACATTCGAAATAATGTTGTTACCTGCATTCTTATCAGAAGCATCAAGAAACAGAGGCTCTTCTTCCTCAGGAACTGTATGCAGCCCCAAAGCATCCTTATCAACCGCCTTTGACGAACCACCGGCCGTACTAGCATCGCCCTCGTCTTTCTCATCCGGAAACCTCACAACCACCACGGGGCAAACACAGTGATGCACGCAGTAATCACTCACACTCCCAAGCCGCCCTTTACTAGTCCTTCTAGAAGCTCCAAACCCTCTGCTCCCCATAATCACAGCACTCAATCCCAGCCGTTCAACCTCCAAGCAGAGCCTCTCCTTCATATCGTGGTCCTTCACGATATGGATCTTGAACGGGATGCTGGCCTCCACCAATGGCTGAGCCAAGTCGTTGGCTTTAGTAGTGGTGAAATTGTCGAAGTCGTCCTCTAGCTTCTGCTGCGACTTCTCATCGGTGGTGTCGACGGAGAGGTCGATGGCGCCCCAATCGGCGCCGTACAGGACGGATGTCGGGCGGACATGTAGGAGTATGACGGCGTCCCCGGGCCGGAGGTAATTTTGGACGGCCCATTTGACGGCGAAGGCGCTCTCGTCGCTGAGATCGACGGCGATCGCGATTTTGCGGTTGGCGCCGGAGGTGGGTGTTCCGGAGGGGAATCGAGGGGAGGCTGGCTGGTGGAGAATCGCGGCGGGTGCACGGTCGTTTCCCGGCCGAGGTTTGTTCGGTGATGCCATGCAGTGAAACTGTGTTGATTGCGCCCTAATTGTGTAATTTTGGGTGGAGATGGATTAGGGTTTTCGAAGATTTGTGGGTGAATAGTTCGATTAGCAAGTCAAATTGAGGGTTTGATGATATGATTTGGTTTCTTCTGCTTACAGGAACAAGGGGAACTGTGTGAAAAACCTCACCCGGTCAGGCTAGGGGCAGGAATCACATGTATCCGGTGTCCGTGTACCCGAGTTTATATTTTTCGCAAGTTGACTTTCTGACTCAGTCAATAAATATGGGTTTAATTCTATTTTGCACCACTGAATATATCTATTTGGCACTTTGTACCCTAATAAATATTTAATAGTAGTTTGCAGTTTGCACCCTTAGAATATAACATTGAATTTCTATAAATTAATGACGACAATTTCTTCTTTATACTCGTATTTTTCAACGAATACAAAATAATCACTTCAAATAACTTGAAAAATATTTTCTTTTTTAGTTCATACTAAATTCTTTTGTCACCAAATTGTCCGAGAAATAGGAAATTTTACTTTAGATAGTAAAAATAAATTTATGCTACCAACAATGGTGATTTTATTTTTCTTTGACTATTAAAAATTTCAATCGATTTGAAGAATATACCGTGTTTCTCAAGGGGTGATTTTATTTTTCTTTAACTATTAAAAATTTCAATCCAGGGTGGGATTTGAATAATATACCGTGTTTCTTAAGGGTACAAATATTTTTAATTTTCTAGGGGTGCAAAATGACAAAATAATGTATTTTGATGGTACAAAGTGAAATTAAGCCACAAATATGTCCTTATCTAAGTAACTAGGTCGAATCAAGTACAAGGGTGCGAAGTAGGAGAAAACTCCCTCTCTGTAGACAGGGACAAAACCATGTTCCACCTTTGACATTAAGACGCTGAAAGCCTATCCACTTCAAGAAGACACGTGCCCCGATATTCCCAATTATTTAATTCACCGCCTGTTACATTCTCAGTATACGGTAAAGGGCAAAAAAGAGAATAACGCCAATCCCCTATGCCCTGTTTGGTAAACCCACTAAAACGAAAATTCAGAAACAAAATCCCTAATACCTAAATTTCGAGTCTCCTTCCCCAGATCCCCAAATTCAATTTCCTCTATCAAATTTTGAGGGTTTTTTTCACATCAAAACACAGAGAAGAAAAATGCCTCAGAGACACTCGAAGAACAACAACGATTTAGCATTCTTCACGTACGATGAGAAGAGGAAGCTAGGGTACGGGACGCAGAAGGAGAGATTGGGCAGAGATTCGATTAAACCATTCGACGCTTGTTCTCTCTGCTTGAAGCCTTTCATTGAGCCCATGTCTTGTCTTAAGGGCCATGTTTTCTGCAAAGAATGCATTCTCGAATGCCTTTTGGCTCAAAAGAAAGACATCCATAGGTTCGTTCTTCCCTTCCTCTATTATCTATTTATGTTTGTGAGTACACACTGTGAAATTTAGTTGCGAATTGATCCTAGAAAGTTTATTACTTTGTTAAAATGAAACATAGCTGAATGGAACTTAGCTGAATGAACTTAGATTAATGGGTGGGGCAAATTGTATTTGAGGTATCTGAGTTTCAGTGTTTCATTTAATATCAAACAAGATAAATTGGTTAGCAGAGATTGACCGAGCTACTTAAAGATAACTCTTGATTTCAGGTTGCTTTCTATGCGTTGTCGTATTAGAGTTTTTCAGCGTTACCATACAAGACTCATGGTCGTAGCTTGCAAGTAGTAAACTTCGATTCTGTTTACCTTGCTTCGAATTGGATTATCTCCCGAACTATGTTCGTTCTCTATTTTAATGAGTATTTTGCTAGTGTTGTCTTTGTAAAATAAACGGACAGATAACTCCAAATCCTCCCAGCAATTTAGGCAAGGGTTGGACTAGTGAAGAAAAGGGGCTAATTAGTACCGAAGAAGACTAAGCTAGACTTGGTTACGGTGCTTTTATTTGAAGCATCTTTCTTCGAAATTACATTGGAGAATCAATATTCAATAGTGGGGCATGCACCTCTCTGGCACCTAACATTACTCACTCGATCATGGAAATTATCTTTTAGTATCACATTTGGTTTAAGTGAGATGGAGTTTTGTTATATTTTCCGGGATACTATTTAATGTTCAACAGCCAGTTGGTGAAATTATGGACTCGATATGATCTCGTATATGGCTGTGCTGTAACTAACCCCTTATGTAGTTGTTGAAATCTTTGGGGTACAATAGCTACCAATTAATAGTCTCGTTTGTTCTTTTTGTCTAGAGTTGGTTTCATGTCTGTTGTCTTGCCGTATATGACTATAGATTAGCGTTTGCGTATTTATTTTCAAATTCACTCAAAGATTACGAATACTAGCTGTCACCTAAATGACAACCCGATTGAAGCATGCCAACTCATGCCTTCCGGTCTCGGTGTACATTATATTGCTCTTATTCTTAAGTGAGATTTATAATCTGCAGAAAGCAAGCAGCCCATTCTGCTCAACAGAAGCAAGAAAAAGAGGAAGAAGAGGAGAAGCTAACGCTACAAAAGGCTAGAGAACTCGACGCATTCGATCAACAGAACCACAGTGCAGTACCTCAGTACACTGGTAAGAACTACAACAGAGACAAGAACGGTTTCCAAGGTGCCAACAGTGTAAAAGCCACCTCGTACGAAGAGGAAGCTCTCCGCACCATGAAGGCGTTTTGGCTGCCCTCTGCAACACCCCAAGCTCCTAAAAAAGTGGACGCTCCATCGACCGACACCTGTTGTCCTGAAGGGAGCGAAAAACTCAGGCTGAAGACCCTTTTCCCCATCTCTTTCACAGAGGATAAAACCGAGCAGAAGCGGGCGTGTTCGCTCGACAAGACCTACATCTGTCCTAGCTGTAAGGTCACCTTAACCAACACTTTGCCACTTGTCGCGTTGAATTCTTGCGGGCATGTTTTCTGTAAGAAGTGCGCGGATAATTTCATGGCGGTGGACAAGGTTTGTCTGGTCTGTGATAGGCCGTGCAAAGAGAGGAATCTTATCAATTTGGCCAAGGGGGGAACTGGTTTTGCAGGCCATGGGGATCATCTTGAAGCAACGGAGTTTAAGCACCTGGGAAGTGGTTCGGGCCTCGGGCTTGTGAGGCCTGCTATGAAAACTTGATCCCTTGATGCAATAGGTTCAGTTTAAAACATTATTATTACCCTCTTTCTGACTGGTTAATGTTGGGTGGTGTGTTTTTTTTCTTTTCTTTTTTAAATCTGTACTATATATATGAAATCAAATCTTATCCAGTCTATATTTCTTATCTAAAACAGACAGGGTATTTTAAGGATTTATGTAATGTGGTTGTCTCTATCAGTTTGCTGATTGCTTTCTTACCACGTGGGATTATTGAATAATTACATATTAATAAAACCTGTCACTGTAAGTCCTCCATAGTTGACCAGCCGAAAGCATGATAATTATGAATTATGATGATGCACCAAACTCATTGCAATAATGCAATAATCATTAACAAGCAATTTAGGTATATTTAGTCATTAACAGCTCACTTGCAATTTTTAATTATTAATTTTCAACTGTCAAAGAAACCCTCGATACACGTGGCATCAGCGATTCCCTCAGCCTCAACATACCGGTTGGCCCCACCGTTACATTAAAGAGGCGCCAACCCGGAGCACAACCATTCTTTTCATTACCTTTATCCCTCACCAGAATCTGCACCATTATCTCGTCCTTATCAATATTATAAATTAAAATACTTACACCCCCACCCCCACCCCCCTTCTTCTCTCTCTTAATTCTCTATATAATATTTATCATTTATCATTTATCAATTATCAATCACCCCTGCAGACATACACAGAAAAAAGAATTTATTATGGCGGTGCCGGAAAAGAGATCATGTGGTGCAGACACGGCGGCGGCGGCGGCGGCGGAGGAGGAGGAGAGGTTGTTGATGGAGGAGATGACTGTATTGGATTTCGACATGCTCTGCTCAACAGTTGCCATGCAGGCGCACAAGGGTAAATGGGGAAAGTTGAACGGAGTTAATAATAAAGAAGAAGAAGAAGAAGACAATCTTGATTCGGATTATGATTATGGAGGAGGAGGAGTTCATAGAATGTGGGAAGGTGATCTTGTTTATGACTTCTTACAACATCGACCAATCGCTCTTCAATCCACCTGGTATCTATCTATCTAATCCTCATTAAAATATCTTTATTTATTTTACACTGTGTGTATGTAGAGAGAGAGAGAGAGAGAGAGAGAGAGAGAGAGAGAGAGAGAGAGAGAGAGAGAGTAACTTTTAGCTTGAAATCAACGCTTACTGATGTTTGAAAGTTGCGTATACGAATTTAGTCTTCCTTATGACAATATCTATGTTGATGTTCATAATCTTGCTACCTAGTATTTGTATGATGATTTTAAAAAATCAATTATGGGCTTTTATTTATTTATTATGTTTGACTAAGAATTATATATATCCACCCACTCTTTTTTTTTCAGACATTCAAGTCAATTTGATGATTAATTACATTATCATTTATTGCAGTTGCCCATGTTACAGATTTGGCAAGAATATGAGACGAGCTGGATTTGGTTCTTGTTTGGCCCAGGTAATTTATTAAAATACCTTATTCTCATTCGTTGTAGCCGATTAATTTTGTCTTAATCGATAAGCGTCCGCATAGTCGTATTCGTGCAATTTACTTTATAATTAGTTTAAGCAAGTAATGATTTCTGCATATGGATTAATGAATTGTCCAGGGATTCATTTACTTGGTTCTTGCACTCGTTGCCCTGTTCAGCCTAGTCGCGTTCATCGTTACCAGAAGATGCTATTTTCTGTATCTGTGTATTTCCTTCACTGTCTCAGCTGGTTTATATCTCGGGTACTACCGAATCCAGATTAGAAACAAGTTCAACGTTAAAGTAAGCATTGCACGCACGCACGCACTTATACACAAATGCAATGAATTCAATAACAATTATGCACATCATAATTATTTTATTCGAAGTCCTCAATTAAGGCTGATTCAATATCGATCGATGCAGGGTGGGGAAAGTTCTTTCGACGATTGTGTTTACCATCTCATTTGTCCCTGCTGTACTATATCTCAGGTCTGTGCGTGCCGCATGTTAATTTATTTTTACAAATTAACCTGCGAAAAATTAACATCAACTTCTAACTATCGTGTTATGAGGGTTGGATTATTCATTAATGTTTTTCTGAAATGGAGCAGGAGTCGAGGACAATGGAGATGAACAATGTCGAAGATGGGATATGGCATGGCAGAGGAGACAGTGCTATATGCATCGGAAGCAAACCTTTTATTAATGTCTCAACAAAATCTCCAGAATTCACTACCATGCAGAAAATTACCTCAAATAATTAGTGACAGCGCTCGTTTATCAGCCTGAGTGATCATTACGACTCGTATTTCTGTATCATGTGCTGATATAGTGAATTATCGAAGGGGTCTTGAGTAATTTGCTTTAGCATCCCAATTAATGTAAACTTGTAATTCAACGAGGAAATAATCGACGAGATTCTGTACCATTTCTATTTTTATTATTATTTTGTATCAGTGGCACAACCAACTTATTTATTGCCACTGCTTTCAACTCCACCTCCAACAACTACTTCTCCCCATCTATAAACTCCGCCACCAGACCCCGCTGCGCCGCCGTAGATCCGACCGCACCCCTATCCTGTGCCCTCTTCCCGCTTTCCAGTCCCGCATATTCCCGCGGGCAAAATAGATATGTATTATGTATTCTCTTCTATTTGTTTTCGAGTTCAAATGGATGTCCAACCACTAGAAATTATGATTATTATTAGGCATGTAATTTTCCAATTTATCGCTGGCTTCATTTTAAATCATAAAAACAATATATTGAAGAAATAGTCATTTTTTCTAAATAATAACTCTGAAAAAGCCCACATAGTTTTGTGGATTAGCCCACGTGGCATTGTTAAGGTACTATTGGACTATAGTTAGCCCGCATGTGTTTCTTGCTTCTGTTCCGGCCCATTTGTTCATCTTATCCAACAAAAAGCAAAAAAAAAAAAAAAAAACAATTGCCTGAATAAGTTAGTTAATTAATTATATATATTGTATTTGTTGCAGAGGTAACATATTTATTGGCGTTGCTTTCAAGCATATTTATTGTGCCCCCCTCGACAGAGATACTACAATCTTTAAGACAACGACGTTTCATTGACGCTTCCTCCCTCCCTCCATTATCCCCCCACGCACCACTGCAAATAATATTATCCTTCCCGGCAAAATTCTTTATCCCTTTCTTTTTTTTAATAGAAAATTAAAAACAAATTTCAAAGTTTTAATTATCTTAATCTTTTTTTCCCGCTTTGGCTTTAGATACTCCTTAGAAATTCTTTGAAGGGGAAACTACAGATAAATCCCTAATCCAAAACTTGAAACACAGATCAGTCCCTAGGTAGTTTGCCCTAGCATTTCAGTCCCTACTCACACGCCTAACATGCAGATCAGTCCCTAATGTGAATTTTATATATTTTATTATATTTTCTTCTCACTCTCACCCTTTTCTCTCTCCTGCTTTTTTCTCTCTTCATCTTCTCTTTCTTTCTTCTCTCTCTTCATTTCTATCTGCTTTCTTTCTTCTCTATTTCTTCTCCATTTCTCTCCTCTGGTTTCCCCTTTTTTCCGGCGAAAAAATCACTGTAAAACCCACCCACCCCACAATGGCTACAAATGATGTATCTAACGATGTACCCAGTGTGATTCTTGGAAGTTGTCGATACAAAAATCAACTTCACATTATTTCCATAAAAAGTAATTCGACATTAATGGAGATATATGGTGCTATTATCAACAAATGGAATCATATCCATCCAGATGCACTGATCCTCCAATACTTGGCTCCTCGGGAAAGATTGTATGTGACATTGGGCACTGATGAAGATGTGGAGAATATGGTTGCATTGCATCTGATAATGAAGATGAGTGTGGTCGACATTGTCGTGACCTGCAAAGATGAAGCTAATTCGCGTGGAAAGAGGGTTCGCACCGATGGCTGGTAGGTCTCCATCTTTTTCTGTACTGCTGAAATGCATTTCTTTATGGTTGTTAATTATTGTGTGATACATAGTATAAAATATGGCACATAATAGTATCATGCTAATATAAATATGGTATGGACGTATGATACTTACAGTACGTAACCTTGATCTGAGTAGTATGGGTGATAGGTAAATTTGGTACTGCTGGTGGGAAAACATAGTATCATATAATGAGGAAGATAGTACGTTACCTTCATCTGAATAGTATGGGTGATAGGTAAATTTGGTACTGTTAATGGGAAAACATAGTATCATATAATGGGGAAGATAGTACGTAACCTTCATCTGAATAGTATGGGTGATAGGTAAACTTGGTACTATTTGTGGGAAAACTTAGTATTATATAATGGATAAGATAGTATGGAACCAGTGCATTGTTATGATATTTTCATGTACATTGTTATTTGGATTCCACTCTATTGTAATCCATTTTTAAAATTTTTTTGAAACCAAAAGCGGCGATCAATCGATGGAAATCGAGGGTAATCCGCTTGGAAATTCAATTGATGCATGGAGACATTGCATCCGTGGGGAGAATCAGTTTTTTAAAGATCCTGATGATTTTAGGCATATGCTGAAAAACTATTCTATTGCTAATAATCGATCATTTAAGTACATGAAAAATGATCAACAAAAGATCATAGCAGTATGCATTCACGAAAACTGCAAATGGAGGGTTTATGCATCATTGTACAAGTCAGATAAGTTATTTAGCATTCGCAAGTGCAATCTTGAGCACACTTGTGGTGATGCTACTCTTCGTACAAGGGGTCATCCTAAAGCCGATGCTACATGGATTGCCCAAATTATGAAACGAAAATTGAGAACGCAGCCAGCTTACACACCATGTGGTATGTTAGAAGATATCCGAGACGATTATGGTCTGGAGCTTCAGTACTACACAGCATGGAGGGGTAAAGAAAAAGCAATGCGCGATATCCATGGTGATGAGACGACATGTTATGATAAACTGAGACGCTATTGTCGTGCATTAAAAATGCATAACCCTGGTAGCATGGCAGAGTATGAGATTGAACCTGCTACTCAAAAGTTTATTCGAATATTTATTAGTTTTGGGAGTTCTATCTCCGGCTTTCATCGGTGTAGGCCGATGATATGTTTGGATGGGACTCACATTAAAAATAAGTACAAAGGATGCTTGCTTTCTGCTGTGTGCAAGGATCCAAATGATTCCTTGTATACATTGGCATACGCAGTTGTTGATGCTGAGAATGATAAAAATTGGGAGTGGTTTTGCATTAAATTGAAACAAATTCTAGATCTTCACAATGACAATAGATCTTTTACCATTTTCTCTGATCGTCATTCGGGGCTTCTTAAAGCCGTCCCGATGGTATTTCCTAGTAGCCACCATGCATATTGTTTGCGACACTTGGTGGATAACTTTAGAACTCAGGTATTTTGATTCTCTTTAATATGCAAATTGGAACGTACCATTTGTCACCTCATGTCATACTTTTGTATAACATGTTTCATACTTTTGTATAACATGTTTCATACATTTGTGTAACATGTGTCATACTTTTGTATAACACATTTCATACATTTGTATAGCATGTTTCATACATTTGTATAGCATGTTTCATACATTTGTATAACATGTTTCAAAATAATATAGGTCCTGAGGAAGTACCCATTGCACAACAAGTCATATTGGGCGAGTGTTTTACATAATGCTGCATATGCTCCTACTCGGCAGGAGTTCGATGCAACTATTTCTCGTATAGTGCAATCTATGCCTCTCGCGGCATCATTTATTTCGAATTCTGATCCAAATCATTGGGCCAATGCCTATTTTTCTGGAGAAAGATGGGGAATCGTGAACAATAATCAGGCAGAAAATTGGAATGGTTGGGTTAAAGATGCCCGATCTTTGCCTGTTCCATCCATGATTGATCACATACGGATCAAAATAATGGAGATGCTAGTTAAACGACAAGGAAAAAGTTTGGCAATGACTGGCATATTGTGCAAGAAAATTCTAAAGAGATTAACAATCAATCATATGGCCTCTCGTTCCTTAAAATATTGTAGATCAAGTAGTACCGCTTTTGAGGTATATGATGAGGACAAGTCGTATAAGGTTGACTTGCAGCAGAAGACTTGTTCTTGTAAAGCATGGCAATTAGAGAAACTTCCATGCAAACATGCATGTGCATGTTTGGAGTCAAAAGGATACTCAGTATATGAGTTTGTGGATCCATGCTTTCATATTGATACGTACAAACAGGTATATCAATTCACGATTAACCCAATTCCCTCGTTTGATGAGGACTTTGACTTGTACGATGCGTGTAATGCTCCGCCCGATGTCTTTGTTAATGCACCTGATTCGAGAACTCGACCGGGACGTAGAAAGACAAAAAGAATTCCTTCACAAGTGCAAACTCGTAAACTGAATTGTACTCGGTGTGGGAAGCCTGGACACAATCGTCGTACTTGCACACAACCAATCTGACTAGCAATTTTTTTTAATGTAAATACTGTCTGCATTTGTGTTAATTAAACTAACTAGTCTTGTTTCTAATGTAAATTTTATGTTTTTCATCAGGGAGGACAATATGGAGGAGAGCTTACATGATTGCCCATTATGTTATTCAAGTGATTGAAGTGAATGAAAACTGGTTGTTTGTACTTTATTATTATGTGATTTGCACTATGTTGTTTTGAACATTGTACTATGTTTCAATTTGCACTATGTTTTTGCTATTTGTAGTTTGTACTATGTATTAGGTACTCTGTTCATTGATGGTTTATCATTTTCAGTCTAATGGTACTATTTTTATTTACACATGGTATTGGATATGAGATAGGATGGTATGCCTATTGTTGGTTGATGGTTTATCATTTTCAGTCTAATAGTACTATTTTTATTTACACATGGTATTAGATATACGATATGATGGTATGCTTGTTGCTGCTTGATGGTTTATCATTTTCAGTATAAAGGTACTGATTTGATTTACGCATGGTATTATCTATGAGATAGGATGGTATGACTTACTCAATTTATGACCGTTACAATATAGCCGTTGCTTATAATATAGCCGTTGCTTATTGTCAGAACTAGTCAAGTCATAATATGACCATAAATGACACATAGGCTCATTTGTTTCTAATTCATGGCTTCTTCTAGTAGCACCACTCAAAGGGAAATGAGTGGGTTAAAATACAAAAAAGGGAAATGCAAGCGTCTTGATTGTGGGAAGAAAACAATAATCATGGTTTCAGAAACTATTTCGAATCCCGGAAGGTTATTTTACTGTTGCCCACACCATGGCTACTCCCATTGGTGTGAACCATTTGAAGTTGGGCAAACTTTTTCCAACTCAAATCGTGAAGAAAATGAAGCTACAAGTGCGTCGATGAACCAAGTCCATCAAGAAAGTGAAGTGAAGAATTGCAATTCTGAAGGTGGAGTAGTTCATAGTTTGATAGTGTTGAATCTAGTAATATTTGCAGTCTACATGC